CGTGAAGTTTAACAAAAGTGAGTGCCGGGTCCTGCACCTGGAACAGGGTAACCCTGGCTGCACGTACAGACTGGGCAATGAGACGCTGGAGAGCAGCCCCACAGAGAGGGATATGGGGGTTGTGGCTGACAGCAAGTTGAATATGAGCCAGCAGTGTGCCCTGGCAGCCAGGAGGGCCAACCGTATCCTGGGGTGCATCAAGCACGGCATTGCTAGTAGGTCGAGGGAGGTGATTGTCCCGCTCTGCTCTGTGCTGGTGCGGCCTCACCTTGAGTACTGTGTGCAGTTCTGGGCACCACAGTACAAAAAGGACATGAAACTGTTGGAGAGTGTCCAGAGGACAGCGACAAAGATGGTGAAGGGCCTAGAGGGGAAGACATATGAGGAGTGGCTGAGGGCACTGGGCCTGTTCAGCCTGGAGAAGAGGAGGCTGAGGGGAGACCTCATCGCAGTCTACAGCTTCCTCACGAGGGGGAGTGGAGAGGCAGGTGACCTATTCTCTGTAATCACCAGTGATAGGACCCATGGGAACGGTGTTAAGCTGAGGCAGGGGAGGTTTAGGCTGGACGTGAGGAAGAGGTGCATCACCGAGTGGGTGGTTGCACACTGGAACAAGCTCCCCAGGGACATAGTCACTGCACTAAGCCTGTCAGAGTTTAAGAAGCAATTGGACTGTGCACTTAGTCACATGGTCTGAATTTTGGGTAGACCTGTGTAGTGCCAGGAGTTGGACTTGATGATCCTTATGGGTCCCTTCTAACTCGGGAGATTCTATGATTCTAATAACATTTCTTCAGTTAATAGAATCTTATTTTTTCTCTCTACCCTTTCAAATCTACCTGCAGACTGAAACTCTGGATGGATTCTTTCATCTGCTATATTGTCATGCACCTCCAAGTGTAGTAAACAATTTGCATATTTCCAAATGGAATGAGGATATGTCTGGGTCTGAACTTCTTCCCTTATTGTACATGCTTATTGAAGCTTCTTCAGTCAGAGTCTGTCTGTTCCTTTTATTTGCAGTGTGCAATGTACAATCTACACCTTTTTTTAATTCATAGTTGTGGGTTATACTATGTTCAAGGTCTTGCTCTCTGCAAGTGTTTCTACACATAAAGCGAAACATGGAGAAGCAATTTTGAGTAAGAAGCTACCATTTTGAGTTAACAAAACTGTTTTGATTCTTTGAGATATTTAATGACTTCATTAGGCATCTTACTACACCACCACTTTTGTTAGTAATAGTTTCTTCCTTTAATTATGCAGTTAAATCTCCTCATCTGCCCAAAGTGTTATTTTCAATAGAGAAAATGAAATGGAGACACCGTGTAGAAGGTTTGCATTTACAGCAGAAACCAACTGACCTTTACATAAGGCTCAGCGAATGCTCCAGATTGATAGTTCCTATTCCTCACTTTGAAACAGCTGTTCCAAAGAAGAGCAATTCCTTGTTGCACAACCATTCAAGTCCATCCAAAGTTACTCTATTTTAATACTTCATGTGTGTCTATAATGGTGGAGAGGGAGGGAGGAGTCTTTGTTTAGAGCTCAAGGATAGAAAAGGTGTGTCAGAAAGCTCGCTCAGTATATCACATTTATTGTGTTCTTATGCTTTGTTGCAAATGTCACAGCACTGCGGTTGCATGGAAAGTGAGTCTTAGCTAACAAAAGGCTTCACCTTTTGTTTCCTTCTCTATACTGTACTTTGTAATAAATATCGAATAAAACAACACTTCTTATTTCCAAGTGTTTCTGCCACATAGTGATGAGATTTCTTCATAGTGGAAAGTGTGTGCTCTACACATTGTTCTACATTTGAAAAGAATTTTCACAGCTGTTTTTCTTAATGTGCCTTGCTTGTGGTTTTGATCATTTGAAGGCTGCTGAGTTGGTTTTTTTTCAACGAATGTGTTTGACATTTGCTATAGCTTATTGATCAAGAGGAATTCTTGTGGTATTACTAGAAAAAGTAATATATAACTAGTTTCACAGGTATTATCTAGCAATTTAGAAAACTTAAATTTAATGAATTTAGTTGCTGAAATGGATTAGTGGCTAAATATATGTAATAAATCAGTGTATAAATTACCACTATATGCTGGATCCTATGAAATGAAATTCTTTTAAAGAACAGAGTTGTGTTTTCTGTTAGTTCCCTGACATTGAGAATATAGTACAAAAATAAGAACTGATTTTTTTAAAAAAAATTGAACTTTTACTTAACTTGAATAAATTGATTACTTTTTCTTGTCTGGAGGTAAATCTACCTATCTTTGTAAAGTCCACAAAAACTCCAATGCAAGAAAGCTAAAAATATATAAAAGATAAATAAAAATGCATAAATTTTGTAAAGTCCATTATAGCATCATGGCACAGTGAGCAAACAGTTTAGACTTTGAGATTGCTTTGTACAAAGGAATCATTTAAATGGAAAATTACCCAAAAAAAAGTGCTGACTTACCCGATGAGCTGTCAATAGGAGATTTAGGGCTCCCCATGTGCCATCAGCATGCTTTAATTGATTACCGTGTTACTATCCTGAAGTGTGCTAACATAAAGGTTAGAGAAATCCTGAGGATATCAACTACCTTTTCCAAACTGCACAATTAAGGGTACAGTACATAATCTGAGAACAGAATACGTCATTCAGAAATAAGCGATCTGCTTTACCTGGAGTAGAGATGTGTTTTTCTAAAATTCACGGAATTGTGTGCAAAAATGGCTGCTCAGAGGAGTGGTTATAAACTGGATTGTTATGTGTTTCAAAAGAATAACACTTTAGATTATGTATAGTTTTGCACAGGCCTCGGAGAAAGATGCCTGAGTCAGACTGTGCATCGTCTCTTCCATAGAAGTGGTTGTGTTATGTTACTCCTTGTTTTTGCAAGCAATTTATAAGTCCATCCACTTTAATATCTGGACACAGGTACAAACGCATCTTCTGTGTGCCAGTGGCGGGGCTGATGAGGGTCATGTTCAGGCTCTGAAGCCTGACCCGGTTAGTGGTTAAACTGCACATGATTCTGATTGTCCTGGCTTCTTCCTGCAAGGAAGGCTGGGGATGTGCAGGCTGCTGAAGGAGAGGCTCTGGAGCATGCTTGGTGGTTGTGCTTCGAGTCTGAAAGATAAGCAAGCAGACGATACACGTCCAGCCTTGGGGACAGGATTTCAGGGGACGGCCTGCCCAGGGAGTGCCTGCAGGTCAGTCACTCATGGTCACTGGGGTGTCTCTCTCCACTCTGTTGCCTGGGGGTCAGTTTTCAATTACCTATTGAATTTCTTGCTGAAATAACATGATCTCAAGCTGTCTTCTCAAACTTTACCAGTAGTTAATATTCTTTACAAGACAGAAAGTAATGCCATGGGAGCTCTTCTATTATAAAACTTCTAAGTAAACAGGTATATACACTGGAAACTGTGTTTAAAAAAAAAAAAAAATGAAGAGAAACATGTAACATGGAGAAACCTTTAGCTGCTAAATACTGGAGAAACTTCTGTTTCCTGCAAATGAGAAATTAGAATCATATTTCTTAATGGACGTGCATTAGATTTAAAGTCACCTTCAGTCCTGTTTGAAATTTGATTTTTTTTTTCTTTGATCAGCTACATTAGCCCAATAGAGATATTAGGAAATAGAAGACATCTAATAAAGGGCTCAATAAAAGTATTATGTCATAACATATTTTCTTCACAAATCAACTTCTCAATTTACGTAAACACCTATTTCATATAGTATTAGTGTTTGACATTGTTTAAATTGATTTTTTCCTTTAAAATATGTTATCACATAGTCAAATACAATACTAGAGTGGAATCAAAATTAATTAAAACTGTTTTCTAGGAATTTTCCACATACTAGTTTTCATCTGCAAACAAATAAAAATAAAAATTTTGAAATGTTTTGGTAAAAGTTCATTCCTCTCTATCAGCTCCAAATGCTATTTGCTGAAAAATGTTTCAAGATGTTGACAATGATGGTTGTGTATTGTGGCTTTCATGAACAGCTGCAAGTGGAGTGCTGGTGTAATGTATTTATAGCTGTAGTAAACTTAAATTGTTCCAGACTGAATGATCTTTTCCAGTCAGTAATTAACATTTTCTAACACTGAGGTGTTGTACTTTGAGGTATTTGTATATCTATATGGTAATAACAAAAGGAATTAAAAGGAGCTAGGAAGATTTAGTCTGTAAAAGATGATTCTCTGAACAGTTCAAAGTTCTGAATCCAGAAAGGCAACTGCTGCTGTCTGTGCAGCTTTTTCAGGGTATATAAACAAGATGGAATTCCATGTAGTACATGACTAAACTGACTTTTGATCAGAATGTACGGTAGCAATCATTAAATATATCTTGTGTGGTGACAGTGGGAAAGGCATTGTTCTCCATTCTGCTCAATGGACCATGCTGGAACACTTGTTTCATATCTTGAAACCATTTATGATCGCTGTTAAAGAAGTCAGTGCTTTAGCAGTGCCAATGAATCAAGTAAAGTTATCCCATCCATCCGTCTGTTAAGAACAAAATATTGGAGAGAATAAAGACACACAGAGAATCTAACTATACTCAAAGTTGCGTTAAAAATGTCATTTATCTGTTTGTCAGTGGGATGGGACAGATCAGGAAGCAAGCAGTTCATATTTTTTTCAGGTTTTAGATATTTGCTTCTCTGCCTCAATCATTGTTGCTAGAATAATCTTAACGAAAGGAAAGTTTCCAAGGGATAAACGGAGTTTGTCTTTTGAACAGCTTTCCACCTGCAGCTGTGACTTTTTGCAAATCAAATGAAGTTTTGTTTGTTGCTTTGCTTATTTATGTGACCTTGTTATAGTGGGACTTCGTCTTCCCCCTTTGGAACAAGGCCATAAAAGGGAAATGGGCTTATCTAATCCTTAGTCCTGTAAACCATCTCCGTTCAAGGTGAAGCTCTCTGTCTTTGACTGACAGACTTGAGCAAACTCATATAAAGCTTTTTTGTTTTTTGTTTGTTTGTTTTTTTCCAGATAGACTGGCCATTGTGCATTCAGCCCTCACATACAGAAAATACTGAATTCTAGCCAAGAAGGACAGAGTATTTTGCTTTGTTTGTGAACAGAAGAGCGTTGCCTGGAGGACTTCCTCATTAATGCCAATAAAAGCAGAACCCAGACAAGCTTGCCTGACCGCACTTCCCAGCTGTAAGGAGTGGATTCCATCTGACTGTTAAACAGAACCACATTTCCAAAGGGATCTATAAAAGGCATGATGAGGTAGCCAGAGTGGATTCCCCGCACTTATTAGACCATACTCTGCAGAGCATAAGTGGCATCCTGAAATACGTGTCCATCAGAGATGTGAATTCTGGCTGCTGTTTTTAGACTACTTGTAAGTTTATTCACAAGACCTATTTGGAGCCCCCTAAGCAGAATCTACATTCATCAAAGTCATGCTTCTATTGCTGTTTGTCCAGGATTCTTGTATCTACCTTTGCATTGAACCAAATCCTGATTTTGAGTTGCCTACACTGAAATATGGATATGGCATATTTGTAAATGGGAGAAGAAAGTTACCTGAGTCACACGAAGAATGTATCATACATGTATATCACCTTCCACTACCTTTCTTGATATCTGGCACATCTGAAACTTTACAGTTGAGAAGAAATGAAAAAATTAGAAAAACAGATTGTCTTGATGCAAAGCATGGAGAACTGCAGCGCATACCACTGCAGGCACTGCCGGGCAAGATCTGAGCTGAGAAGAACACAACCTGTGTTCGCACTGGCTAACACACACTGGTGATGTGCGTATCTGTACAAGCTCCTCTGGAAGAAGTCTAGCTGCTGCTTGTTAAGCGGCTTCTTTTTTCCTGATGCTTACTGGAAGGAAGCTGTATAGTCTAGGATCCTGGAGCTTATCTATTCACTTGCCATCTCCTATTAGAAGAGTGAATCCAGGATGTCCACTTCTGAAGGACACAGGTCTTTCTAGAAAGGATATACAGCTCTCCGTCTTAGTGAATTTCAAGGACTCTTGCTGTTGGCTGGCAGCACTTCTCACCACCTTTATCAGTAACAGGTAGGAGGAGCATTATCATCTCCCTATAAACTGTATTCCACTGTATCTTAGGTGAAGTGTTCTTTCTGTGCACATCTGTGTTGGATCATTTGGCTGGCAGCGTTAAGGTCATGGCTGCGTGCTAAGATTGCCTTCAATCTGTTCAGTGAAGCAAGTAAAACAGATGTGTGCATGGTTCCTGAATACTATGGTGACTAGTGAGTGTTGGAAATAGTGGGAAAAGGACTGACAATGAATAACATGATTGACCTGAAGGTATCAGGATTGAGTCTGGGAAAACAGAATTTTGAAAAGCACTGTTTGATAAGCTTGAAGTGGTTTATAAAGGAACTAATTTAATTCTAAATAATATCTTAAATTGACACATCTTTTCTTCTGTTTCCAAATTTTCATAGGAAAGATTCCTAAATTCTGGACTTTGTCTAGAGAATTTAAGTGAGATTCTTTGCACAACTACATTGCTTTCTTATGAATTTCATTTTCAAAAATTTCTTAAAGAATGCTGAGAGGTTGAGATGGACATGTTGTCATTGCATCTGTAAGTAGAATCTCGCGTTGGATTTCAAATCTTGGTCTTGGTTGCTTTTCAGTGCATTGGGTCTGTAGCTGTGAAACAATCATAGCATGTTACTGGTTCTTGCAATAACAGCAACAATGGCAGACAAATTCTGGTGCAAGCACAGGAACAGGAAGTGCATGCATAGAGCTAGAGCAAGATTTAAAGTCACATAAGGAGATATGATGACTTTCAAGTTTGATGGGAGTAATGAGAGTAACTGGAAGAGACTGGGAAACAGGAATTTTGACATCTTTGGGATATGTTGTTAGCTGATGTCTTCCATTTAGAAAGGAAGAATGCTTCAGAAATCAGGGCAAATCTGATTTAATTTATTTTTTAATATCCAGATTTACAAATAAAAAACTCTTACCTAAACCACAAATACAAAAACTTGTTATGAGTTTGGCCATGTCATTTTACCTGTTCTTAAATTTCTCAAGAGTTCTTGGGAGTGAAGTACAATATTAGCAGTTGGCATCTTCATGTGAATTGAAAGGATAAAATGAAAGGGGAGCAGGTACTGCTCAGGAAAGACAGATTTCTTTGGGCTCTCAGATTTAGAGAGACCTGGAAAGACTCAGAAGAGACAACATTGCACAAAGATATATTGCAAAATCTGCATTTTAATGAACCTCTCAGAGATACAGTGGGAGATGAAATCTGCATCTAGGTGATGCAGGAGCATCATTTGACATGGCAGTAGGTGTAACTCAGGACAGTATTGGAAGCTGTGCTGGAATGTGGAATGTAGACCTCTTTCAAGCTGACCCCATATTATTTATCTTTTACATTTGAATCCTAGTACCCAGGATCATAATTGAAAAGCTAAATGTATCTGCTGCAGATAGAAACAGAGTCAGTGGTGCATTTGTAAGTGGATTCAGAATTTTATGCTAATATTTGGTGGAAATGTAAATTTTCTTGTGGTACTTCCAATGTGTGCATTACTGTGTGTTCTCCCTGAAGCTGTAGTTCAGAACTGATTTTGATCAATAGTTGACTGCTTACGGTTCTTTATATTCATGTATTTAGGCTGTGAGGTTTTGGGGAGCCAAACCACACAAGATTATTTTTTTGTTTGCATGGTAATAGTATAATTAATATTTTATTTCAGGCTAGACTAATACAATTTTTGATGGTTTTGAGGAATAATATTAATGTTCGCACTGAATGCAAATGGAAGAATAACATTTTTCCAGGTAAACAGCAAATGCCTTTGAATTTCTTGATAACGAATAACGCACGGTACTAACACAGACCAAAGGTAGACTCCTCAGTAAGTCAGTAAGAAAACTCAGCCACTAAGAAAAGGAGCTGCATACAAACATTATGTGGATTGATTTTTACCTTCTGTGTTTCAGATATTGGAGTGAGGAGAGGGGAGATCTCATAGACTGGAAGTTACTGTGGTGTTTTTTTCAGGATCATAACCTGGGTTAGGAACTTACACTCTATTTGCGCTGTGTGGAGAAGGACAAATGAAGTGGAACACTTAGCATATCTTCCCAGATGAAACCTCCTTTAGCTGTCAATGTATTTATAAAAGCATTTTTAATCGTCTTTTACTGTATAAGCCGAATTGAGATCCAGTTGGGTTTTGGCCCTTCTAATTTTCTCTGTGCACAGCTAAACAGCAGCTCTATAGCCCTGCTGTGTTGCCTGCCCATTCTTCCAGACTTCATAAACTCTTTTTCCTCCCAAGCCCCTGAAAAAAGTTCTGTTAGCCAGGCGGGTCTTCTTCCCCAACAGCAAAACTGTAGGCATGTTGGGACAGCCTGCTCCAGCGCCTTTTTGTTCTTGAAGAAGGTCCATCCTTCCTGGAGTCCTTCACCTTTCTGAACCACCTCCCAAGGGATTCTGCCAGCCAGGCCTCTAAGTGGGCCAAAGCCTACCCTCTGGAAATCCACAGTAGCAGTTCTACTAATTGCCTCCTTAATTCACCAAAGCTATCCTGCTAGGGTCACTGCGCCCAAGGTAGCCTCCAACCATCACATTTCACTGCACTTAGTGCTTGTGAAACATGTTAGTATCACAAGGCTCCAAAACGCCTTTTTTATCTGTTCACAGAACAAGTGTAACAGAAGGAAAAGCAAAAGAAATTTCCCTGTAGGTCTCTGCCAATAAGCTAACCTGGAGGATCACCAATTAGTGTCAAAGATTTTTACAGCACAATTGACCCATGTCCACTGGGAACTGGACTGAAACCATCAATTGTTGTTTAGAGCAGGACACTGCCTCCTCCTACAACCAACTTTTTATATGTCAATAAATCATTGGGGTCTGTAGTGGATCCTTGGATGTAGTTAAAATATTCATACCAACCACTACATATGAAAAAATTAAAAATGCTGAAAGACTGCCCTAAAAACAATGCAAATATTGCCCATCAAGGACTGTAGGTTAAACTTAGACCCGTGTTACCTAATGTTAATATGAGTCATTCTATAATGAACCTTACAGCTAATCGTAAGTAACTTTCAGCAAAAACCTTCTGAAATCAGTTCGTCAGCCCTCTGTTTACAGAATAACTGTAACAATGGCTATGCCAACTGGTGGGCTGCAGGCTGATGTGTTACTCAGTTTGCAAGGAAGATATTTAGGTTCGTGGGCCTATATGCAGATTCGGCAAAGCAGTGTGCATGTCAGTGTGCAGAGAACTGAGGTATAACTAAGCGTGGCAGTAGGATTTTGCCTTGTGCACTAATTTGTCATAATATTGTTATTACCCACCTTTAAAAAATAATAATAATAATAATTAAAAAAACTCTTAAGAGCTTTCTTGTGTAATTATGTTTCACTTGATGAAAGACAAGGTTTTGTTGTGCATTATTAACTGGAGAAAAGACACAAAATTAAAGGAAGGGCATAGCGTTGTCCTTGTCTGATGGTAGAGCTCTACTTGTGTGCTGTACGATTTGCTGATATGAGCATTTGGGGTAATAGCTGTGGCTTTGGGTTTTTCTTTCTCTCATAAAGACCATAGGTTTCACAACGTTTTCCTATTAGTGGAGTTTAATATAAATGCCTCAAGTCTCCTTTCTACTTATTTTCCAGCTACTCAAACACCTTAAAGCTTTGAATGAATTCAGCAGTACATCTGTAGTCAGGCAAAGATTTCTCTGAAGCTGATGGGAGGTTTGCCTCAGTTAGGGGCACAGGCAAAGATGTGAGACTCCTTATGTAAAATAGTGAAGTTGCTCTTTCTGCTGTGAGTGTCGTGCCGTACTAGACTGAAGTGTACTTGTTTTACACTATTAAACATCCCATCTTTTGTCACACAGTAGAATTTAAGATAATATATTTTCTCTGCTGGGTCTGTTTATGCTTGGAAATTATCTTGCTGTATCCATGTATCGAAAATTTATGAAAAGTACTAGCATATTTCTTGATACATATATATATATATATATATTTTTTTTTTTGAGCACACTTTTGTAACTTCAGCAAGGCTTGAAGACTATTTCTTGCCCACAGCTAGCAAGAAACAATGATTTCATATTTCCCAAAGTGGAAGACAGTCAACAGAATTCCTCTTTATTGCAAAGAGGGGATACAATAATAAAAAGACATTTGCTGGTGGAATATTGCCAATAAAGTACAATAATACATTAAAGCAGATACTTAAAGTTGAAATTTATGAGTTTGTTTTTCTGTGCCAGTCAACGTATTTTCATATGTTAACATCAAATGCAGACTCTCAGCAAAACCTTTAATAATAAAAACAGCAGCCGTCAAAAGCAAGTGGAGAATTTTAACTTTTGATATGAGTTTATCTTGTGATTTTGTTTTTTTCATTTTTTTTTCAGATTCAATTTTATTTTCATATACTATTTTTTCTAATAAAATATTCATCATATTGTTCCTTCATATACCCTTCAGTGGAGCTCACAGACCAATAATCCCCCTTCTCTCCCAACAAGATTAATTCAGAAAATGAATGTTTCATTCAGAGAATAGGGAAACTAACCAAAGCTGGGCATAGTGTTCTTTTTAATGAAGATAAACAGCTTATATATTCCATATGTATACAGTGCTACCTCCCATAACTAGCTCTGTTCATTTTCTATATAAAATTACCTAATATAAACTTTCCCTTTTTTAAATGGCATCTTTTAGTATTTACTAAACCATTCCTGTGTGTGTGCCCACACACAACACTGAGTATTCAGAAATGAGGAATGCTGCTCCCAGAAAAGGGAGGCAAGGTTGGGTGGTTTAAGTTCCTCACCTATTTGCTCTCTTAATGCCAACCACCTGTAGGTACAGTCAAAACCACTGTATTGTCTCTAATGGCCACAGAACAAGGTGAGGTAAATTCATTTTAACTGCTGCAAAACATCATCTAGAGCGCTGTAAAAGGTATGATTAGGTACCAGAAAAATTAGTTCAGATATCAAATCAATAGTTTCATGACCAGAAGGGTGATGACTTGTTTTTCAAC